GTGTGTGTATGTGTGTGCATTGTATGGACACCCCCATCCACCCCCTGCACTCATCGGTTGTCTCTCTCTCTCTCTCTCGCTATTTGTGTGTGTGTGTGTGTGGTTGATACGAAGGCGAGGCCCGAAGGCCCGAAGGGCCGAGCCGAGCCAAGCCAAGGCATGGTGTGTGTGTCTGTGTGCAGCACATGATGGACACCCCCCCACACACCTGCTTGCCTTCTGCACTCATCGGTTGTCTCCCTCTCTCTCTCTCTCTCTCTGTGTGTGTGTGTGTGTGTGGTGCGAAGGCGAGGCCCGAAGGGCCGAGCCGAGCGTGTGTGTCTGTGTGTGTGTGCATTCCACACACCCTCTGCACACATCGGTTGTCTCTCTCTCTCTCTCTCTCTGTGTGTGTGTGTGTGTATGTGTGTGGTGCGAAGGCGAGGCCCGAAGGGCCGAGCTGAGCGTGTGTGTGTGTGTGTGTGTGCATTCCACACACCCTCTGCACACATCGATTGTCTCTCTCTCTCTCTCTCTGTATCCACCAGGGCATGTTGAACCTTACTAATACCATTTCACATGTGATTCAACATGTCTTTTGAGATTCTCCTTTGGAACAGACGCTCGCCTGCACCGCCGCGACGTGGCCAGCGACCGAGCCCTGCTCGCTCCGCCGCCTGCTAAGCGGCCAGACAAACTGGACAAGTGGGAAACCGCTCCCTATCTCCTTTTTGTTTGCTCTCGTTCACGCGCTGTGCGCGTGGGCTTCTCGCCAGTCTATATGAAAAAAAGTAAGAAACCCTACCGATCGCCGACCGATCGCCGATCGCTGGACCGAGGCCGCGCCCCAGAGGCCGACGTAGAGAAACCGTAGTGGGCGACGCACGAACGACCGAGAGAGGAGGCAGCGTCGCACCGTGGAAGGCACCAGGAGGCGACCGCCCAGCTTGTTCAGACAGGGACAATTGGACGGATCTCGCCGAGGTTTGACGCAATAAAACCCGTAACAAACCCTACCGATCCCCGACCCACTGCAGACAGGCTCCAGACGCCGACGTAGAGAAACCATAGTGCGACGCACGACCGAGAGGAGGCAGCGCAGCGTGGAAGGCACCAGGAGGCGACCGCCGAGCATTTAGAGAAGAGGGTGTCACGCAGGGACAATTGGACAGATCTCGCCGAGGTTTGACGCGACCGTACCTGCGTGAACACGCCGCAAGTGGACTTCATCCGAGTTAATCGGCTTGCACTTGGCATACCGTGCCGACAGAGAGACACTGGACTCACTCGCGCATCAGGTAACAACATGAGGTCGTTCACGCGTCAGACACAATGTGACATGAGTCTGTCATGGCATCATTCACGAAGTTCTTGATGAGCACAGACACGCGTCCACATAAACGCATGACAATCTGCATGCCTTCAGCGCTCTTCCGTGGGGCCACATGTGGACGCCTTCCTGAACACCAACCAACACACAACACGTACGTCGAATTCGTCCGGATCGGCAGCATCGTGTGGTATGACTCAATCATCGCCGAAACGCGTAACACGACGCTGATGCCCTGTATCACTCGCTTACCCACTTGAGAAAAACACATCGATGAACGGCGTCTTCGTCACCCACCCAGCATGTTGGCGAGTCTTGACTCTTCGTAAGGCTCTCGAAGCGACGCGCCAGCAGCGCCTGAGGCTTTCTTAGAGCATCTGTTTGCGCGCGCAAATTGCGCGCGGGCCTCTCGCTAGTTATTCTTAAGGATTACTAGCGAGAAGCCCACGCGCACAGCGCGTGAACGAGAGCAAACAAAAAGGAGATAGGGAGCGGTTTCCCACTTGTCCAGTTTATCTGGCCGCTTAGCAGGCGGCGGAGCGAGCAGGGCTCGGTCGCTGGCCACATCGCGGCGGTGCAGGCGAGCGTCTCTTCCAAAGGAGAATCTCAAAAGATATGTTGAATCACATGTGAAATGGTATTAGTAAGGTTCAACATGCCCTGGTGGATACAGAGAGAGAGAGAGAGAGACAATCGATGTGTGCAGAGGGTGTGTGGAATGCACACACACAGACACACACGCTCGGCTCGGCCCTTCGGCCCTCGCCTTCGCACCACACACACACACACACACAGAGAGAGAGAGAGAGAGGGAGACAACCGATGAGTGCAGAAGGCAAGTAGGTGTGTGGGGGGGTGTCCATCATGTGCTGCACACAGACACACACACCATGCCTTGGCTTGGCTCGGCTCGGCCCTTCGGGCCTTCGGGCCTCGCCTTCGTATCAACCACACACACACACACACAAATAGCGAGAGAGAGAGAGAGAGACAACCGATGAGTGCAGGGGGTGGATGGGGGTGTCCATACAATGCACACACATACACACACAGAGAACACACACAGACGAGGGAGGCCACGCTCAGGCTGGGCCCTTCGGGCCTCGGCTTCGCAAGAACGAATGGCACGTACACACACAGACACACACACACACCATCGCATCATGCATTGGCTCCCATCTGCCCTGGTGTGTGAGGGCAAACCCCCCCACATCTGCCATGGTGTGTGAGGCCAAAAATCGATGGAGCCAATTGTGTTGTCCACCAGAGTGCCTCCAAAGTACCTCGAAGAGCATTCAAAAGTGATGGTCTCGACAATCGCCTTGAGCTTGTTGGTCTCTTTAGACGCCGGGTTGCAGAGCGGCTCGATCTTCTGCTTGGCTGCAGCTCATTCTCGAAGATGCCCCCCAATCCTCGTCCAGCAAGAGCAGAGACGTAGGCGGGGGCCCGTGAGGCGCCTGCC